GGTACTGGAGTTCAACACGAGCAAATGTAAACTTATGGAAATGGGAGTAGCTGATAGGAGACCAAGGGGACAGTACACAATGAAGGGGAACTGCCTACCTGTGACGACGAGAGAAAGAGACCTGGGCGTGGACGTAACACCTAATCTATCTCCTGAAGCACATATAAATAGGATATCGACAGCAGCGTACAAGGGGACAGGCACTTTACACTGGCAAACGTTAGAACATCATTCAGAAACCTAAGTAAGGAGGCATTCAGAGCGCTCTACGCTACCTACGTGAGACCAGTCTTAGAGTATGCAGCCCCAGCAATGGAGCCCCCACCTAAAGAAACACATAAGGAAACTGGAAGAGCTTCATAAATTTGTGACAGGGCTAGTCCCGTAGTTGCATGAGATATGAAGTGACTGAAAGAACTGAATCTAACGACGTGAGAAAAAATGAGGAAGCGGGGAGATATGATAGCAGCATACAAAATACTTAGGGGGATTGACAGAATGAAATAGACAAAATATTCACACGGGATACCAACAGAACAAGGGGACATGGGTGGTGGAAGCTTGAAACTCAGAAGAGTCATAGAGATGTTAGAAAGTTTTCTTTTAGCGTGAGAGTAGTGGGGAAATGGAATTACCTAAAGAAGCACATTGTGGAAGCAAACACTATTCATAGCTTTAAAACTAGGTATGATAGAGAAGTAGGACAGGAGTCATTGCTTTAATCACCCGAAGGCAAGAAAGGCGGGATCCATCAGCCAATGTTCGATCGTGCAGACATAAATATATGAAATAGGTGAGTATACACATGCACACACTGCAGCACCACCACCATGAGTCTTGCACAGCACCTCAGGTGTGCTGCTGGGAACTGCAGCACAGCTGTAACATCCATGATCCCTCCCCCCCCCTCCCACCAGAGCTCACACCCAGAGAAGGTGACCTCCAAGAGGTCAGCCCAGATGACCTCTGGATCGTCTTGCAAAGTTAATAATAATATTCCTGGCTAGCCTTAGTCAGCTAGTTTGAAGGAGGTGATATTAATCATGATAATCTTGTCAGCCATTTTAATGTATTTATAACTCCCAGAGACCTAGGTGTAAACACCCAGAGACCTGCCCGTGCTGTCAGGTCAGAGGTCAGCCACCTGCAGAGTGAGTGGTTGGTTGTGCAAACATTTGTGAGGAAAACGTTCCTTCCCTCTCTCACTCCCATAGTTAATATTCCCCTCCTTAAAGAGGTGTATGGTGGTTGTCAAACAACTTAATGGTAAATTCTTGAGTGTTGTACACGTGGGGGGGGGAGATTACTTACAAGCTGCAATGTAGGTTTGCAATAGCAAATCTCCCCCCCCCCTCTTTTCCAGCTGATATGAGCAGCTTTAGGTGTGTATATATACTCCTGTATGGGAGTTAGGCAGGGAGAGTGCTGGAGGCAGAGAGGTAGTGTGGGCCGCAGGTCTTCAAGCTGGCCACCAGGAGACAGTGAATTCACCCAGGTCGTAGCGCAGGACCCAGAAGGTAATGTGTGTGGTCTTTGATATTTTCCCATGTGTGATGTCTTAACCATTGCCAGTGTTAGGGTAGGGACTTATAATTTGGTGAACCCATGTGAAACTTTCCATCTGTGTTTCCGTCAATTAATGGAACCACCTAATCATCTGAATTCAGTTTTGTTAACAACCGGTCAGTCATTAATGACAGCTAGACGAGGACTCTCAAAGCCAAGCAATGCTTCTTGCCTCATTGCTTGATATAGCTAAACATCAGGCAGGATGGTGGCGGCGTAGTTAATTAATTTGATCCCTGTTGTGTAGCATTTCCTTGGAAGGGATTACACCCCGACCCATTAGTTCCGGGTGTAATCATCCGTGGTACACCTTGTCTCAGTTCATATAGTACATTGCATCTACAACACCAGTGTTTCAGTATACTAAAGGTTTACCTTAATCAATCGTTACAAAGTGTTACCAAGTGCAACCAGTAGGAAGTGTTACTCAGTTTATCTCTGAATTACCAAGGGTTAATTAATATAATATAGTGATACACCACCACCTCAGCATTGACAGGTTGCTGAAGGTCTTCTCCAACTGGAATGTCAACATTATCGGCCGCGACCGCTGACATGGTGGACCCTCGAGGGCCAATATTACGACCACCACCAACGAGTGATCACCAGAGCCACCATTATGCTCCACCAACACCGCACATCTGCAGTGTGTACGTGATAAGATTTATAGCTCACATGTTGTTCATAGCGGCTGTGGCCAGCAACAAGGAGGACCTCAGTGACGGCGGGTCGCCCGGTCTTGGGGACGACCCGGCCGCCCGCAGCAGATCTCCCCCCACCTCCCACAGTCACCCCCCTCACACTCCCTCCCCCACAGTCTTCCCCACACCCTCCCCACACAGTCTCTCACAACGTGTAGTGCCTCGACACACTCTAAGTCACTTTGGGTGTACAGGCGTCGACATGTTCCACCGTGTTGGGTGAACAGGTGTCGACATGTTCCACCGTGTTGGGTGTACAGGTGTCGACATGTTCCACCGTGTGGGGTGTACAGGTGTCGACATGTTCCACCGTGTGGGGTGTACAGGTGTCGACATGTTCCACCGTGTTGGGTGTACAGGCGTCGACATGTTCCACTATGTTGGGTGTACAGGCGTCGACATGTTCCACCGTGTTGGGTGTACAGGTGTCGACGTGTTCCACCGTGTTGGGTGTACAGGCGTCGACATGTTCCACCGTGTTGGGTGTACAGGTGTCGACGCGTGCCACCGTGTTGGGTGTACAGGTGTCGACATGTTCCACCGTGTTGGGTGTACAGGTGTCGACGCGTGCCACCGTGTTGGGTGTACAGGTGTCGACATGTTCCACCGTGTGGGGTGTACAGGTGTCGACGCGTGCCACCATACCCTCCCGACTGGGCTGTGCTCGCGAGGGAGTTCACGTGATAACTTGACTCTCGAGTGAAGGTTTATCGCTGTATAATGTAAACAATTAAACAGAGTATATATTTGTTTTGAATATATATTGTGGTTAATTATAGTGTGTTAAAGCAAGGAGAGGGAGGAGGGATGGAGGATGGAGGGAGAGGCAGAGGATGGAGAGAGAGAGAGAGGGGGAGGGAGGTTGGAGAGAAGATAGTGAGAGAGCAGCCCCCCTCCACCTTTCCCAACGTTAAGAAATTAACATACTAAAGTACCCCTTATCCTATCCTACCAGAGGACCCAAAACAGAAAACGGGACAGTACGTCAATTTCGCGAGCCGCTTCCATTTTCTAGTACGACGATTTTTGCCCTTAGGTAGAGTCTACGTCAAAATGCGACGTTCTATTAGGATAGGTTGTAGGGAGATAGATTTAGGGGGGACTTTCTGGCAACCGAAAGGGTTGCCGGGCATGGTACCAGCTAACATTGCTTCATATTAAAGCATGGTACCAGCTACCATTGTTTCATATTAAAGCATGGTACCAGCTACCATTGCTTCATATCAAAGCATGGTACCAGCTACCATTGCTTCATATCAATGCATGGTACCAGCTACCATTGTTTCATATTAAAGCATGGTACCAGCTAACATTGCTTCATATTAAAGCATGGTACCAGCTAACATTGCTTCATATTAAAGCATGGTACCAGCTACCATTGTTTCATATTAAAGCATGGTACCAGCTACCATTGTTTCATATTAAAGCATGGTACCAGCTACCATTGTTTCATATTAAAGCATGGTACCAGCTACCATTGCTTCATACCAAAGCATGGTACCAGCCACCATTGCTTCATATCAATGCATGGTACCAGCTACCATTGCAAACGGACCAGTAGATCAGGAGAGACAAGACCATGGCGCTGCAGTTAAAACCGGAAGTTCAACAGTTAGTCGGAGACAGTCAAAATTGTGTCTTAACTTTACAGAGAGAGATAAGCCACTTAGAAAGTTTTGAAATACACTCTTGCTGAACACAGCCGACACATCATCATCATTCATATAAATGCGAGAACTTTGATGGGAACTTTCCAAAAAGAGGTCCTATGTAACAATTTCCACCCGACTATAGATATTATTGCTTTAATGCAAAACACCCAATTATCAAGGCCGTGGAGTACATGTCAAGTGGGCGCCAAGTCATTTGCAATACCAGTGGGGAGGGATGACATTGCAGATGATGCTGCAAAACTTGCAACTAAGATGAGTAATGTAGACAGTTACATTCCACAGTGTCTAGCACAGATTAAGAAAATAATTATAGCTAGAGCAATGCAGAAGATGTACAGTGACCACAATGCAGCGGTTGCATCATCAGGAACTGTGAGATGGTAAAAAAAAAAGAGTTCAATTAATTATGAACCACTTATATTTTGGAGAGAGGAACAAATAGAAGAACACAAGTGCACTTACATCAGGCTTGGATACCCCATGTGCATGGTATAAATTGGCTTCCATGTTTCAGAAGAGAGGAGGAAATGTCAGCAGTGTAGAGAAATACCAAAAGGATCACTGAAACGTTAGTTATCACAGTGCAGAGTCACAAACAAGACGCCCCATTTTCTAGTAGCAGGTAAGTAGCAGGAGTAGCAGGTAAGTTACTCCAGTGGATAAGACAATACCAAAGCAACAGAAACGGGCTACCTTCCCATGGCCCACAGTCAGAAATAGTCAGGCTACCTTCCCATGGCCCACAGTCAGAAAATAATCAGAGGAAACAAACTCGCCATCTCCTGGGGAAACCTGAATGCCAAGTAGAACCCTGGGACATAGTAGAAACAGGTAGATAGGAGAACTATACACAATATAAAGAACAGGAATACAGCAATCCGGGACCCCGATCTCCCTGTTCATTTCAGAGGCAGCCATAGTGGCAAACGATATAAAACATTAGTAAACAACCAATGAATCTGACCCGGTAAGCACCAGCAACTATGAACCCGTCAATAATATTGGTGCATTGCTTCATATCAGCAATGAACAAACCCAATACAGAAACCCCGACTCAATATTAACAAACTGGCTGGAAAGCTGTTCTAAGTCTGGAAGGCAGTGTTCTGACTGGAAGGCAGCTTTCTGACTGGAAGGCAGCTTTCTGACTGGAAGGCAGCTTTCTGACTGGAAGGCAGCTTTCTGACTGGAAGGCAGCTTTCTGACTGGAAGGCAGTTTTCTGTCTGGAAGGCAGCTTTCTGACTGGAAGGCAACTTTCTGACTAGAAGGCAACTTTCTGACTAGAAGGCAACTTTCTGACTGGAAGGCAACTTTCTGACTGGAAGGCAACTTTCTGACTGGAAGGCAACTTTCTGACTGGAAGGCAACTTTCTGACTGGAAGGCAGCTTTCTGACTGGAAGGCAGCTTTCTGACTGGAAGGCAACTTTCTGACTAGAAGGCAACTTTCTGACTAGAAGGCAACTTTCTGACTGGAAGGCAGCTTTCTGACTGGAAGGCAGCTTTCTGACTGGAAGCCAGCTTTCTGACTGGAAGGCAGTTTTCTGACTGGAAGGCAGCTTTCTGACTGGAGGGCAACTTTCTGACTGGAGGGCAGCTTTCTGACTGGAGGGCAGCTTTCTGACTGGAGGGCAGCTTTCTGACTGGAGGGCAAGAAACCCTCCGGCATGAACACATAACTAAACAAATGGATAAGTGCCGTAGCATGAAGGAACACTTCCCTCGTGCTCACACCACATAACACTCCCTCACCCTCCAGTAACTGCTGCAATTAGAACACTAAAAGTGTTACGGTCATTGGTAATGACTGTTTGCTCCGTTCTTCCCCTTCCCATTCTTCCCCCTCTCTCCCTTTTCCCCTTGTTTCATCTGCCCCCCCTCCCCTTGCTTCTCCCTCCCCTTACCCTTGCCTCTCCTCCCCCTTCCTCACCAGCCTTAAACCCTAGTCAAGTACCCCTTGGTTGGGACGTTATCCTAGCTCAGATATCTTATATTTCAGGCCTGTATGCAAAACTTTGTCGAAAGCTGTAATTCCCATGAGAATAATGCCACGTCGGCCATCGTGGTTTTAACTTACAGCTGTGTCCCGTGGCCAGTGTCATACTACCTTCAAGAAACAGTAGCCCAGCTATAGGGCTGTATAATCCTGTAAGTAGATATTGGTCCACCAATAAATATGTTTCATTATTCAAATGGGCAAAGTGGCTCTATTTTTCATTTCAAGTGAAGGTTTTCTTCATCGTTCACGCCTTTATAGTGAATCCCATTTTCTGTTGTTTTAATTTTTGCCTCATTTCTATCTAAAAGTAAATTTTCTTCCTCTTGCCTCAAAGATTTAATAGAATTCTATGACGAGGTAAAAATAAATTAGCAACAAAGAGAAGGGCAGGCAGATTGCATTTTCTTGGACTGTCAGAAAGCCTTTGACTCAATACGCCATACGAAGCTGGTGCATAAGCTGTTGAAAAGACAGAAGTAGCAGGTAAGTTACTCCAGTGGATAAAACAATACCTAAGCAACAAAAAGCAGAGTGTTACTGTGATTTGTAAGACCTCAGAATGGATTCATAAATTACTTAGAAATAGCCATGAAAAACAAATACCAACAAAAAGTTCAAAAATAATCATCGTTTTGATGAATCTTGAGCCCAGTATCCTTGACAACCGCCCAATCCAACATACGAATGTTGGCAGAAAAGTGAAACTTAGGATTTTTTTTATTATTATTATTTTCTACCACAAACGTGGCCGGACATTTACAATGCTAACCAGCATATATACATTTTCTTCTGTCCTCCATGGACAGGGTTAGAGAAGTGTTAAACATATAGTTCAAGGGTTTATTGAACACTCAACCACAGAAGGTGATTCGGTGCTTTTAAAATGCTAAGCTAAACTAAGCTAAACTAAGCTAAACTAAGCTAAACTTAGAATTAACAGAAATAGAATCAAAATTCACATGGCAGAATACGAAGAGCAAAAAAAAACTTACAAAAAAACTGGGCCTTAGGCAAAGTGAGAGGCTTCCGTGACCTCGGCACCAACACACAGCTACAGTTCTTCAAGGCTATAGTCTGGCCGCATCTCCACCACCCTCCAGTACCACTACGCACCTTAATTAACGAAACACAACACGCATAAACTACCGGCTGTGCAAAGGGACTGAGAAGTGCAAGAAAACACCATCCACCGTATGAACAGACAAACCGAGAGCTCCAGGAATTCCCAACATACAACAGTAAGTCACCAAGTTGTGGGAATACCATAAAAAATATACCATCAAGTACTAGAAAGATTAAACAAATGAACAAATCCACAAGGGCCGTGACGAGGATTCGAACCTGCGTCCGGGAGCATCCCAGACACTGCCCGGACGCAGGTTCGAATCCTCGTCACGGCCCTTGTGGATTTGTTCATTTGATGCATCACGTTAGTGTGATCTCTGTGTGTGACTAGAAAGATTACTCCAGAAAAAGGTGGCCTACGCGTACTGCTGTGGCTATAGAGCTCTGATCCTCTCAAGGCCAACCAAGGCCCACGATACATAATTGCCGAATACGAGAAAAGCCACATGCACACAATATGAGCCTACAAAGAGGACCAGCCAAACACGTGCATAAGCATCTGAGTGTTGTAGATACTCCAAAGCATTCAGGAATGTATAACCACACGTGTCGAGTGACAGACACGTAAAGAACCTCACAAACACTCACCACGTACCTGGCGAAAGAAAGCTTATAAAAAGCTTTGTAAGACTTTTTGTGTATGTGTGTATTTTTCTAAGACAAAACTCACACACACACACAGGGGACCTAGGGGGCCTCGTAGCCTGGTAGATAGCGCGCAGGACTCGTAATTCTGTGGCGCGGGTTCGATTCCCGCAACAGGCAGAAACAAATGGGCAAAGTTTCTTTCACCCTGAATGCCCCTGTTACCTAGCAGTAAATAGGTACCTGGCAGTTAGTCAGCTGTCACGGGCTGCTTCCTGGGGTGTGTGTGTGTGGGAAAAAAATAGTTAGTAAACAGATGATTGACAGTTGAGAGGCGGGCCGAAAGAGCAAAGCTCTACCCCCGCAAACACAACTAGGTGAATACACACACACACACACACACGTGGAAACTGAGTACCCAAATGAGCCACAGAGACATTAGAAAGAACTTCGTTCAGCGTCAGAGTAGTTAACAGGTGGAATGCTTTAGGCAGTGATGTGGTGGAGGCTGACTCCATACACAGTTTTAAATGTAGATATGATAGAGCCCAGTAGGCTCAGGAATCTATACACCAGTTGATTGACAGTTGAGAGGCGGGACCAAAGAGCCAGAGCTCAACCCCCGCAAACACAAATAGGTGAGTACACACACACACATATCTAACATTTCTACAATTTTCCACTGTACCTCTCAACTTCATTTATTTCCATATAAAAACAAAATATTGGAGATGAAGAGATTGATGTTAGAGTGGCAAGGAGAGAGAGATGGGTGGAAGATGGATGGTAGACGGGTAGAAGATAGGTGGGAGGTGGGAGAGGGGTGGGTGAGAGGTGGGAGAGGGATGGGAGAGGGATGGGAGAGAGGAGAGCTCCAACAGCAGGCTAGGACCACACACTACTCACGTGACAGTCCCATTATGTCCATGACAACAACTGGTAAATCTGTGCCACTACCATCTGTGTGTGTGTGTGTTCTGTGCCACTACCATCTGTGTGTGTCTGTGTTCTGTGCCACTACCATCTGTGTTCTGTGTCACTACCATCTGTGTTCTGTGTCGCTACCATCTGTGTGTGTGTGTGTTCTGTGCCACTACCATCTGTGTTCTGTGCCACTACCATCTGTGTTCTGTGTCACTACCATCTGTGTTCTGTGCCACTATGTATCAGTAGAGGTTAAGGAAAGTGTTATGAGGTCTGTGTACAGGATTTACGACACAGAAGAGAAAGAGATCTGTCACACTTCGTGTCCCAGTGACTGTTGCTATAGATTTAGCTACTCAGAACGAAGTGTCCATGTAGCATGGGCTATGGTGAGCCCGTAAGTGATCTGTGACGGTCAAGTGTATACCACAGCTCTGCCACTCAGGTCCCTCTCACCCTGATCTTCACCACAGCTCTGCCACTCAGGTCCCTCTCACCCTGATCTTCACCACAGCTCTGCCACTCAGGTCCCTCTCACCCTGATCTTCACCACAGCTCTGCCACTCAGGTCCCTCTCACCCTGATCTTCACCACAGCTCTGCCACTCAGGTCCCTCTCACCCTGATCTTCACCACAGCCACTCAGGTCCCTCTCACCCTGATCTTCACCACAGCTCTGCCACTCAGGTCCCTCTCACCCTGATCTTCACCACAGCTCTGCCACTCAGGTCCCTCTCACCCTGATCTTCACCACAGCTCTGCCACTCAGGTCCCTCTCACCCTGATCTTCACCACATCTCTGCCACTCAGGTCCCTCTCACCCTGATCTTCACCACAGCTCACTCAGGTCCCTCTCACCCTGATCTTCACCACATCTCTGCCACTCAGGTCCCTCTCACCCTGATCTTCACCACAGCTCTGCCACTCAGGTCCCTCTCACCCTGATCTTCACCACAGCTCTGCCACTCAGGTCCCTCTCACCCTGATCTTCACCACAGCTCTGCCACTCAGGTCCCTCTCACCCTGATCTTCACCACAGCTCTGCCACTCAGGAGACGCGGCTGGAGACCTCGTTACAATAACTGGGCTTGTCCAAGCACCACATTTACAGAGTAAATACGTGAGCGGGAGATATATATTCTTATAGTAAATCAGGAGCATAATAAGACATTGCAGTCTTTTAGTTTGTTATATAAACACACTTAACACATTTTGTAGATAAGTATGTAGATATATGTGCTTATACATGTTTTACTGAACGACTCATAATACGCACGCACACACGCACATTAGAAAGAATTTTTCAGTGTCAGAGTAGTTAACATATGGAATGAATTAAGCAGTGATTTGGTGGAGGCTGACTCCATACACAGTTTCAAATGTAGATTTGATAAGAGCCCAGTAGGCTCAGGAATCTGTACAACAGGTGATTTCAATCAAGTAATAAGGCGCTTGTCTCAGAAGCCAGACATAGATATATAAGCATACTTAGCAAGAGGGTAAATATAAAAATGTTGTGGATTCCTTCTCACATTGGCATACAGGAACATGATAAAGTTGACGCCTTTGCTAAGGCTGCAGTAAATAAAGACAGTATTGAATGGAATCTTGAGTTATCAAATAGGTCCCTTTAAAGTGCCATTAGACGAGAACTCCTAGATGGATTTGAAGAAAGTAGAACAGTGCAAACTGGAACTAGCAGGTCCATTGTTCATTACAATGAAATGTGTGAAGTAAAACATGTGTATGGGGCAAGTAACAAAGTCAGTAGACTAACAGATGTTGTCACAGCTCGTATAAGACTTGGCTACAAGTATCTCTGGCAGTTCGGCTTGTATAGGGATCTAGATGAAGTAAAGTGTAAAGTGTGTGGACAAAGACTGGGACACACTCGAACACTATATCTTGGAAGGTAGTAAATTTGAGCCATTTAGAGATAAATCTAAGCTCACTCTGTATGATATGGCAACCTATCTTATTAACATGGATAAGTTACCTGAAATCCTTGCACTGTATCCACATTTCGCTTCCAGTAGATAAACGACATATGAAACTAAGTAACAAGTAGTGTATTGTGAAGACTAATAATAAACAGAAGCTCCCCTATGACTAATATCTCCACTGCTCAAACAATTATGTATTAGCGATAAGACCTTCCATTAATGTATAATGACTTACTGTAAATGTATAGCTCTTGAAATAGAACATTCTCTAACTAGCTGACATTGTAGCTATATGGTGTGAAGGATAGATGAAATTGTTTATGTAATAATCTAAATTGATGTCTGATCTTTTATGCCCTCTGTAATGCTTTTTGCGCTACCGCTCACAGGATAGGTATGCGATGCACAATAAACTAGCCGCCTCCGGCGGCAACAATCAAAAATCAAATCAAGGTGATTGACGGTTGAGAGGCGGGTCCAAAGAGC